CCTTACTGACATAAATGAACATTTGCATGATATTCTAATTTTTCAAGTTTCACCTGTATTTCTAATAGTTCTAATGCTGTGTATGAAAAAGAGTATTTTCTCTGGATATGTTAATGAAGCACACATTTTACTAAAACTTGATGTGTGTATCTGACTGATTTCATTACTCTATTTATCTCTGAAAAAGCCAGTTCCAAGGAAAGGCCTACATATGATCTGTAGAAATAAGAACTTGTTTCTTTATCACAGTTGCACAATGCATTCAATTCTATGTACGGGATCTATCTGAATCACAACTACATGTGGCAAATAGGCCCTTTTTTCAAATGTAGCATGGAAGCAAGTACATCAGGTTCTACACATGGAAGGCCAGTTTGAAATACAGGTCAGTATATGAAGTGATCTTAGGAATTAGTGCTTAATCATTCAAGGCAGCAAAACTAACCAGTTAAAATAGAACCTCAAGATTTCTTTTAGTAATTTATTTTCCTACCTACTTACATTCCTGAGTGATTGATTTCAGTGGACAATACAATGGGGAAAGAAGGGGGAAGTAAAGCAAGAGGTGGGTGCTCAAGAGAAGCATTCTGTGCTGACAGCAGATGTATCATTATAATTCACTGAGAAGTCAATGGAGTTCAAGTATTCAGAGGTGCACAGCAGTTCTGATGAATAGCTTAAATCTGGTATGCTGAAATGGGTGGAGTGAGGGTCTGACCCATCCTTCCAGCCAAAATGAGAACATTGGGTAATAAATTATTTCAACATGTATACTGAAGAAGTATCTAATTTAGAAACACACATTTTAGTTGTGAATTCTTTTGGGGAAAGAATCTAAAAGGGGCAGTGACTTTTAGATTTAGTTTGACTGACTAAAAAAGTCAATCAGTTATGGAAAACCAGCAAACCATGTAACAGAGAACAGAATTAGAACAGTGCATGGGAAGGTCTATAGTTCAGCGGAGAAGGTCTCTGTGTATGCCCAAGGTCTCTCGGTTGGAAGGCTGCTGACATCTCCAGATAAATCCATTTACCATTTTGGAGAACTGCTGCTGTTTATTTTAGATAGGAAATGGTTAGATAAATCAGCAGTTTGACTTTGTATGTCCACTGCTATTCTGCAAGAACAGGAAAAACATAGAACAATTTTGACATTTCTTCACAACCTATGATTTTTATAAGGATATGATGTTTTACCCAAATAAAGCAATTTGTTTGGACATTATGAAACTCTTGGTGAAACAAAGTCATTCAGTGAAGAAACTTTCACGTTAGGTCATGAGTACCTCTAATATTGCTTGCTGTCTGGATGTAATAGATCTGAGTCAAAGTTCAGAAGTAGCCTCCTTTTAGTTGAACTCGGCTACTTCTGACCTCACGGGTGCAGCTCTGCAGCTTCCCTGACAGAAAAGGGTTGCCACTGCCTTTGTCCAAAACCCTTTTTGACCTCCAAATCTAATCTACAGCCTGAGGATTTCTTTCACAAGGCCACCTATGAGATGGTCATATAATTTCCAAGTATGAATAGGTCCAGACCTGCTTAGCTGTTGGAGATCAGCCAAGGCCAGTGAGTCTGTTGCAAGGTGTATTGTTTTAAACTAACCTTCCTTAGTCAGGTGTTGGCCAGATGAATTGAATGTAACTCTCATCTTTTGGACATTCCCTAGAGAATATGAATACTAATACTAAGGCATTACTTCATTCACATAACAAGGAACACGCACTAACAAATTCTTAGGAAGTGGTGTAATTGGGCTAGAAAGTGGTCTTCTTGCTTTCATCATGGTTAGTTCCTTCAAGTGAGCCCTGTAAAACCTGGCTTGTTTTCCCAGGCCTTGGGCTAGAGTGGTGCGGGTGTGTCCACTATGGGATTAGTTTTGCACATTTATGGTATATGTATGTTCTCCATTCGGGACATCTTTTTGGGAGATGGGGGTGGGGGTGTTATTCTATTGTATCGGATTGTTGTTTTAAACCTTGTATGCCACACAGAGTCATTGATGACGAGTTGGGCCATTTATAAATAAACTAATAAATAACAATACAACCTTCAGTGTTGTTGTTTGATCTTATGAAAAGTGGTAGGAGCTCCATAATGCATGTTTTTTCTTCCACATTATGATTCACCCCAAGGCCCTGGGTTATTATTAGCTGTTTGAGGTAGACCAAACTTGAACACTAAAGTCATGGATGCTAATACTACTTTTATTATAGGGTTATAGTAATAGAATCTTGCAATTCTGAATGTGCCTTTATCCTAAAGAGCATGAGGGAGGGTCAAATCTGAGATGCCTTCTCAAATTCCATGCCTGCTTTGGGCTCAGATCTCTCTTATCTGACCATTGCCACGGCGGCAGCTCTTCCTTCTGTTCCTCAAGGTTATTCTCATATCCCATTACAGTTATCTTTCTCTAAGGCACTCCCTCCAGCATCAGTTTCACTTCTCCTGAACTACATTCTTTTCCTGGAAATTTCCCAGATTTTAGGTTTTTCCTTCATCATATTGCTCACAATCCTACCAAGACAAAAACTTTTATTTCTCTGCCACTGACCTGAAATCTCCTGTCCAACTGCATTAGCTGTTCATGTATTTCATGTAACTTTTTAGCAGTCCTAATCTGGGTATTCTGTAGTTTGGCTTCTGTGTCAGCCTTGAGCCCTCTGAGTGGCTGAAGATGCAAAGTTCTCTCCTCCTCACACTAAAACTTTGCCTTCTGTATCTGTTTCTTGGGAAAGCATTTGCTTTTCTGACTCCAGATCTCATGTTTCTTCTTCAAGTCTTTTGGCTTGGAGTATTATAATACAATCTGCTGTTCATATTAGATTGCAGGTCCCCTTTTGACTGCTGTTGCAAGGCATCCATGTTTGCTTCAAGCCTGCCAGCTGATAGAAATCTGGGGTGTCAACTTGAATTGCTCCAGGATTGTTGCCACATATATATTCCATCCCAACATGGTTGAAGACCATAAGGTTGGGAAATTAATGTAGTATACAATTTCACAAAACACAGTGCAGAAAAATAATTAATTGGATGTCAGGAACTCTTCTCTCTATTCTGCAAGAATCACCTATTGTGTAGGCAAATCTTCCGTTCTTTCCATTCACCAGCGCAAACCTGGTAATTATTTAAACCTGGTAATTATGGTTTCAGCAACATCACAGCTACATTTCCCATCTCCACAGCACGTGAGAAATTGTTAATAGTCTTGCAAACACTGGGAAATGTAGATAACCTAATTCCATTCCATATATGGATGAGATGGAAAGGGAGATACTTTTCTATACTGCTGCTGTTGCCTCATTCAGAGGCAATTCAGCAGGGATGAGTGAGAGGGAAGGGCACCTTTGGGGAAATGATGCAGTCCAGAGTACAGGATAACATTACCAGCATGCTAAATCAGTATTCCAAACCAGGAGATTGCAGGGACAGAGAACATTAAATGTCAAACCTGCTTTGTGTCTTCCAGATTGTCCTGTGTGTGGTAGTTGCCTGATCAGCACTTGAGTGTGGTGAAGGAGGCAAGGAGTTTCCAAAGGTTGTGTATTATTTTGATTGCACCACACTGATGTAATGCAGATATCAGACATTACATGCAGCTGGTGTAGTGAGTTCATAGGTATGTACTCTTAATCAAACGAATACACATAATATTAAACAGAATGTGTTACTGTAGAAGAAAGTCAACAGTTTGGAATGTCAAGTTCAGTACCAATGAGATCATGTGGAAAATGACAGAGCACCACTTGGAACTTTGGAGATGCCTAGAATCTTTTGCTTCTACACAGACAACTTGTTTTGCTTCAGATTCCCTTCTTCAGTGCATACGTTTAGTAATGAACCTCTCTTTGTAAGGAGGAAACTGAATTACATGCATTTACAATGATTTAATTGCCTTACAGTTTATACAATACTTCTGAACTAAATCCTACCACTTTTTCCATCCTTGTGGTGAATTATCTTGCTAATGTATCCAGAAGCTCACGCTATCCAAAACCCTTCGGTTGTGAATGTTACTGGATTGATATTGATTGAAATCTATCTCTAGATGTCTCCAGAATTGGCGTCCATCCTTTTTTCTTGAGCAGAATATGTTAATTCCATATAGGCCTAAAGCAAGGGCAAGCTTTTTGGAGTTCTTGCATGGGCTCTAAATATTTAGGTTTAACTTTTTATTGTACTGTCTCATTATCTCTGTTATAAGGATATTACCATTTTGATGATAAATGTATTGGCTTCTATGGTACTATTTTTATTTCTGTTTATCTTTTATTGTTGCTTTTTTTTTTTTTTGCTTTCCTATTTGCTTGCCCTAATTTTTATCTAGGTTTAAATTCTGCTATCAGCTGTTGTGAAAGCTACGTAATAAACATTGGATCAGGAGGAAATACAGATCAAACTTTAATATTTAAGAAGTCAGGCTCCCGCTTACATGGGAATAACCATGTTGTTGGTTCAGCTCACGATACTGTTCAGATGTTACTAAGCCCTTGTGGAAGTCAATACACGCCAGTGGAAAGAAGCAGACCAGGCAAGCCACTGTAGGTCTCTTAATTTATTGAAAATGCCACAGAAAGTTAGATGTGGGTGATCAATGTGATCAACGAGTAATTGGTTGTGCTAAGCGCTTGGTTCTTTCTGTACAGAATGCTTTCTTAGCAGACTCCTTTACAATAAAGGCATCTGGATTAAACTGCACAAGGTTGGTTGGGGCCCTGACAAAAGAAATTTTAAAAGAATTGTTAGCCTCGATGCTGCTCCTTTTTATAAAGCTGTCTGCAAGACTAACAAAGGAATTCAACTCCAGAGTTTCACATGCTGGATGGGAAAAAAAGCCACTACTAAAGTCTATGCTGTTTTTGCGGTGGAGAATTGCTCTGTCGTTAGGGTAATAACCTTCCTGGATCCCAGGAAGGTTATTAGCCTATCGACAGAGCAATTCTCTAACCAAAACCTGGCATGTGTTCTGTCTAATGGTTAGCAGAAACTAGGTTAGTTTCTGCTAACCATTAGACGAAACACATGCCACGCTGTCAACAACATAAACCGCATCTTTCTGCAGTTGTGTCCTGACGTTGTATGTAAGTCATGGGGTTTGCATTGTAAAATCATAATGTATATTTTGTTACTAGCTTCTTGCCCCTATCACCATGATACCACTGTGATGCCACAGTTTCTGTTTTCTGCCATTTTTGTCCCATTGGATTCAGCAGAAGGGAAACAATAGAAACGGAGATCTTCTATGGTAAAACAGAAAAAAAGCAATCTGTCTCTCCTCCCCTATATGCAATGAAGGCATATACTTGTCAGATGGTAGACCTTCCATCCACAATCCAACTCAGGAGGGCTCTTTGTTCTTAGTTTGCTGAATGGTTCCCACTGAAGTCAATGGGATGAGTGTTATTTATTCACCTGCCAACCAGATAACTGGAGAGGTTGCAGAAAGAAACATCCAGCACAGGCCACTGTGGGCAATACGAAGCAAAAAAATCAGGAACGCAGGGCATTGATGAGAAGTGAGCAATGGCAGCTATTGCCATGGGCTCCATATATAGAGGGGGGTCCATTCCAAAGGATTGCTGAGTTTTTCAAGTGAAGGCAATGTAACAAATATATTTTCACAACTTTCCACACACATTCCTCTTTACTGGGTCACTAATTTCAATGGATAAAAAACATGGAAAAAAATAAGACACTGTCATGAAATACAATGAAAAGTAGGATCTCTGCATGCTCAGAGGACCCTTCTGCCCTTAGATCTCTCACAGTCTTTAAAAGTTATCTTCAGGCCAAGGTAACTCAAAGACCCTTTCCCTCAATTGGAGAGTTGTTCAGACCACAAACACAGCCATCAAAACTTCTGGGAAACCCCACCTGCTGGGAGGCTGAGCGAGTTCATTGAGTCGAGGGGAAGCTACCGCTTGCTTGGCTGCCAATGACACAGGCCACTCAGGGGAACGGTCAATATTTTCAGAAGGGAATACTTTTGGTTTAGCCAGCTCAAGTAGCCTTGGACTTGCGACTACTTGCAGGGCAGTCAGGGGTACCTGCAGAAGAACAGAAGTGCTGGTTTTTGAACATGGGATTAATTCCAGAATATTTCTGAAAAAGCTAAGCTACAAAATATGTCCATCCCCAAAGGATTAGGACCTCTGAACTCTCCCCTCCTCTCAATAATGTCTGAAAGCAAAGTAGAGGCTAAGGTACAGAGCACCATACAAACCTTCTGGCAGGATTCTGAACCTTTTTTGCAATCTCTCTTCAAATTACACTCAATACAATAAACACTTTTATGGTGATGGTAGCAAAGTGGGACAGATAGGTTGATCTGATTGTTTTGGGGGGGGTGTTCTGTTGGCCATTGTCTGTAGTGCTGTGATAATCCCAAAGAGAGAAAGGACTAAGAAAGGAAGAGTGTAAATTGGGTGGCAAGCAATTATCCTCACCACACAGATGAAGTTACTGAATATCATCTCTTCCAGCAGTTATAGAAGTAACACAGCAAATCCATATATCTTAAAGTTGCCAAGGTTGAGAAACACTGATGTAGAGGTTTTAACAAAGTTTTCCTGTGTACACAATGACAACAATTCATCCCTAGCTAACCCAGATATTAAAAGATCTCTCCAGCTGTCAGGCTTCATACGTGAGCTCAGCAGTAAATCATAGTTCTCTAGACTTTTGACACTTTATTCAGCCCTTGGCTTGACTTGGCAGAAGATTCCCAGACTCAGCTCAGCTAAATTAGAAACTTTTATTGCAAACAAAAATAAGACTTAAACACAACAGTAGACTGCCCACCACAGTAGCAAGGAAAAAAAAAAGTCAGGGCCTTTATATACTGTAGATCTATGCTCTGATCTTTAAGGATTTCCCTCCCACCCTTCCAGTCAACAGATACTCAGCCAGTCTCTTGATGGCTTGGGAGGCTATTGAGATCTATTTACATAATGGTTCTCTCCAGCCTAGTAACTACTTGATCCTACCTTGCAGTCTCAGCCTTTACACCAACACAAAGGTATCAAAGTAAAAAAATAAAAAAAAAAATAAAATAAAAAATTACTTGGCGGATTGGGACCTCCTTGTATATGTTTTCATAGAACTGCATTTGTTTCTTAACTGCTGGCTGGGAAATCTGCTGTAGCCTTGGGCTGGCCTCAGCTCTTCTTGCAGCCCTTGAAATCTCTCTTTCAGGCTAGATAGGAAAAATAAACCAACAATAAGGTAAATTTGATTTTTTTATAAGATTTTTTACAAAACAAATAAACAAATAAATCCAAGTATGATCAGATGCCAAGAAAAAGACATTTCTTTCTCCCCCAGTAATATTTCCCAAGGTTCCCTTGAAAGAGGTAAGATCAGGCTGGATGTAAACTTCTTATCTAATCTCAACTCAAGCTGATACATCTTTATCTATACACAGCAGAACAGTAAGGATCTGTATCGACAAAAGTAGTACCAGTAGTTATGATACACAAGAAAATCTGCTTATTTGCACATTCTAATTTTGGGAGGAATATGTGAAAATGTGTTCTTATCAGTGATAGCATTTCTTCTTGAGTACATTACAGGCCAAACTCTGATGCCCATATGAGAGTACAGTAAACAGTCCAACCTTAGGAACCAAGACTTTGAAACCTGGATGTCAAAACTGCATGGTTCTGTTTCATCTCCCCACCTCTGAAAATGGAAATTTAGAGATCAGCAAATTTTTATTTTACCTCAAGGGCTGGTCAACTGGGAAACGGCCCATCTGGAAAATACAAAATGCTAGCATACAGCCAAAAATCAGTAGGTCATAGGCAAAGGTATCCACATGTCTGGTGTAATGTGTTTCCCAGGGAGATAATTGTGTCAGCCCTGGACAAGGATTATCTTCAGCTTTCCTCCCTCCCTCTCCCAGCCCCATGATTAGTTTTGCAATTTGCAGAGTTATGTGATTTGGGCAGAAAAGCAAAATAACAATTGTAACTGGCCCTACTGCTCCAAGCTTTCTTAGCAATGCCAACAGAAAGTTGTGAAATGCTCCAATAATCTCATGTTTTGTTCCCAATATTCTTTCTAGTTCAAGCATCCAGTGCAGATTCTTAGCCTTCAATTTCTTCTTCAACCTTCTTCTACCTTTCATCAGGTCATTCCCTCTACCATCATTCTAATTTAGGTCTCTTTCTGGAAGAAAAAAAAATCCTTTTCTAGGAAAAATTAATCAAGGGTGATGGGTAAATATAGGACAAGACTAGACTCATCATAATAGCAGGAGCTACTCAGACCAAAATCTCTCTAGCCTCTTCCTCTCTTATTCACAATCATTTCATCTCAGAGCTTCAGAGTTAAACCATTCTTTCACTGTTCATCTTATCATCCCACTGAGCAGTTTTGGCTCCAACTGGTGTATTTGGTTAGAGATTTGCTATGCTGCATATTAAAATTGTGCAAGGGTAGAGGTTTTGAAAACAATATTGCCTTTCCAAAAGAGAGCCAACAAATGTTATAGTACAAACTGGCACCAACATATCATCTGCCATGATATTACACACAAGAAGAATTTGAAAAATCCTTTTTTAAAATATAAACTACACAAGGACAGAGCCAAAGGCAGAAGGCTAAAGTAATATGAAAGGTTTTTTCAGCTTGCTGAAACGGCAGGTTCTTTAGTGTAAACAGGAGAGCAGGAGTGTTCAACAAAGTCAGCACAGACCAAGGACAGAGAACCTTTGGCCTGCAGGCACAATCTGAATTGCAGACGAACTTCATCTGGTGCTTCATCCATCCTGGGTATGGGAGGATCCCTGGGAGTCTGTGCTTAAAAACACTGACTCTTTGTCTTCCTCTCTTCTGAGGGAGAAGCTTTGGAGGTCAGATTTCAATCCTGTCTCTGTCACATCTTCTAGGGATCAACTTCCAATCAGTGGCCTGCAAACCTACTCTGCCAACAGATAGTACTCCTGATCTTGAATCTCTTATTTTTTGTCTTTGAAAGAAATGGTTACATATCACAATGATACCCAACTTTAAAATTGATTTCTTACAACCTGCAGCTTTGGCTTTTAAATTATTTATAAAGCTTCTAGTACTTATGGTATTTTAAGGGCTCTCTGCTTGGCAATGTTTCCTGAAAGGAAAACTATGTTTGACCAGACTTTTATGAAGTACATAATGTAGGTAACAGAAATAGATACTGAAAACAAAGCTGGCTTCCAAAGTAAGCCATAGAATGTTGGAGAAAAAAGCATTTTAAATATTTTGTTTGCCTTCTTTTCTACAGTCTGCAGATAATAATTCAAGCTATCGACCACTGAGCTCAAGTTAGAAAAAAGTAAAGGTACCCTGGACACTTCTAGAGAGCTGTATTAATTTCCCAGCAAAATGCTCTAACTGATGTTGGGTTTTCAGGGTGCTGTACTCCTTCCATCTGTAATATATTTATATGGCTCTCCCTTCCTTTGCCACTGCCCATAAAGAAGGAAAACCATCCCCACCTTTAACATTTGCTCACTGACAGCATGGCTCTCAATATCAAGAAGCTCAGCAGCCAATGGAAGAGCCCCATTTTCCACTGGAAGGAACTCTTGCTCCTTCTCCAATGCCTCCTGTTAGACCAGTGATGGCGAACTTATGACACGTGTGTCAAAGATGACATGCCACGATGTTTTGGGTCATATGCCAGCGTTCACCAACACCCGACAACAACTATTCTTCCTATTTGAGTTACCAAAGAAATGGAGTTTGTTTTATTTGTATTTCATTTTCGTAATTATTTGACATTTCTTTATATAATACATAGCACTACACATGATTGGATTGTATTTTTTTTAAATAAATGTATATATAAAGAATTGTTTCTTTTTTGTTTGGGTGTGTGTGTATGTGAGACACGCCAGCAGAGTCAAGTTAGGCATTTTCTGAATTTTTGACACACTGAGCCCAAAAGGTTTGCCATCACTGAGCTACACTGAAGAGCTCGTAGTCTAGGAAAACCTTTTGGCTGCAATGATGAGTGCTTTGGGACTGTAGGATCTAAGGTGCTGTGTATTCCCAAGTGGAAAAGAGAGGCAAAAAAAGCCATTTTAAAAATTGGTGCCTACCTCAATAAAATATTTTTTCCAGCCTTAGGAATAGGTGAAAGTTTCTAGGTCTATGAGCAATAGCTTGTTTCTTTAATGCCATGGATGGGGAAAAAAGAGCTGCCTTTGCCACACTTGGTGCCTCAGGCATTGCCAACTCTCAACACAATGGGAAATGGCTCTTCCCAGTTCCTTTTCTCTCATTATATCCTCTTTTTTTTTCAAGAGAAAAAGAAAGGCCCAGCAATGTGCTTTCTTGTCATTCTTGAGACACCAGTTCAAAAAACCCTGCATCCTTTTTGCCACACCTCCATGATGAGGCCAGCAAATGTGTGCGCGTGGTGCGGGAGCGGGGGACTGAAGCTGTTGGAGGCTGCTTTGGAGGAAGCACAGGTGCAAGGAAAGGGAGCAGAGAGGGCAAAGGATTCCTGTGTCTCTGGGTTTCTCTTTTCTCCAGCAAGTATGGAACCTTGATGGAGAAGAGAAAAATCAGGCAACTCTGGGGAACCGCATCTTTGTGGAATATCTTCCATGAGGTCACTCTTCCTACTTGAGTCTAACAAGAAAAAAAGAAAATGTTGGTTGTCCAGGAGATTCTGGTCTCTCTGGCAGCCCAAGCAGAAATGGCCATGGACAGGGATGATCTTGTAGCTGGTTAACTGGGGCCCGCACATTGCTGCCCTCCCTGAAGATCCTCCTCCTTGAAAATCAGAATCTCTGCATAGGAAGTTTTATTGAGTTTCCTCCAGAAAAACCACTTGCCTGTTAGATCATTTTAATCCAGCTTCAGCCTGCCTCAGTGGCAGGTTGCCAC